TTACGATTACAAAAAGCACTATACAGATTAAAACAAGCTGGTAGAAGATAGTATAAAACACTATCTAATATACTACTTAAATGTGGATTAACAAAATCCAAACATGATAACACTGTATTCTTCACAAAGAAGAAAGAAATAACTGTAGCTATATTATTTGTACATGTTGACAATATTACTATTACAGTAATGAATAATAATACTATTGTAATGATAAAACAATCTATTGTATGTCATTTACAATATACAGACAGTAGCAAATTACACTAACTACTTGGTATAGAGATTCAACACAACAGAGAGTATAGATTCATCAGGATGTGTCAGACACATTATATTAATAGTATAATAGAATGTTACAAACTTACAAACAAACAAAGTGTACAAACACTCATACAGCCTGGTACACAATTAAAAACAGTATTACAAACCAATAATGATAGAGAACAAATGTCTGATATACTATACATAAACATGGTTGGCACACTTAGATACATTACAGACTGTATACAGCCAGATATAGTATTTGCAACAAATCAGTTAGCTAAATACCTTAATGACCCTGGTATGGAGCATTATCTAGCACTTAAACATTGTTACATGTACTTAAAAACTACAAACAATGTCTGGCTCCAACTTGGCAGCACAAATCAATCAATATTGAATGGATATACAGACACAGACAGTATGATGCAAGAAGGGCATCATACAATATCAGGATATACATTTTACTTGAGTAATTCATTAGTTTTGTGGTCAAGTAAAAGACAAACACTGGTGGCAAATTCAATGTATGAAGCTGAATTAATAGCTCTTACAAGAGGAACACAAGAAGTGATCACACTTACTCATTTAGCTGAAGAGATTCTGTAGATCTCTGATACACCAATTAATATCTATTGTAATAACAATACTGTTATACAAACAGTTACATTGGACAAACTCAAATATTCAGAACAAACAAAGCATTTAGATTATAAGAAAGATTTTATTAAATGCTACATTGAGTTAGAGTACATAAATGCAAAATACATACAGACAAACAATCAATGAGCAGATATATTAACTAAAGTACTACATGTACTACAAGTCAAACATCTTACCAGTTTACTCAGACTAGTGTAAGGCCAGAGCCTCACTCAGGGAACAGAATAGGCAAAGACCTGGGATTAGAGAGGTTGACCTAAGTACAGGAGCAAAGTACAAAGATAAGATCCTAAGTAGCTATCTATGACTCTTATATATTTATGTTCTAAGTCATGTGTGTAACCTCTGAGGTTACACTCTTCCCTACTCTAAAGAAATTGAAGGAGGGGTAGGGAAGGAAAAGATTACACATAAAGAAAGAGAAGGTAAGGTAAGGGGTAAGGGGTAAGGAAAAGAAATAAAAAAGGATAGGAAATATTGATAAGGAACACACAGTCACAAGTGTAGCAAGACTTTGACTTGTCAATGAAAACATACAGGGACCTTCAACAGAAATGGTGGCAACAGTATTCCTGAGACAGACACAAGCTCAAGCAAGACCATTAATGACAAGTATGTAGTAACAAGTCTAGAAAGGCTTCAACTTGTTAATGAAGACATGTAAGGAAGACTGAAGACTTTGATACATTAATGAATGCTTGGTCCAACCCCTCCAACCTTTTCTAGATACAATACGTTTCTTGTACAAACTAGACTGTAGAGGAGGCAACATGACTCAAGTGTAAGGTTAAGAAGTTGGCAGTCAGACATGGTTGATGAAATTGTCTGGCTGGGTGTTGAAGGTGATAAGAGTTCTGGTGGTAGTGTAAGTGAAAACAGACCATGTAGGACACAGCAGGTCTGTGTATATGCTGGAAGGATAATGTGTTAGTGTGTAGGTGAAACAGAGTGTGTAGAGGTAACAGAGGGTCTGTGTATACACTAGAAGGATAATGTACAGGCTTGTAGGCAAAACAGAGTGTGTAAGAGTAACAGCAGGTCTGTATGTATGCTAGAGGGATAGTAATGTTGAGACAAGTACTAGTATCCTGTTAGAGCAACAGAAATAGGGACAAGGAAATGTTGGATTAGGACTTGGTATGGAAGAAAATAGTAGGTAGTATAGTTTAGTGTTCTCCTGTGTTCTCAGTTTGGTGTTCTCAGTTTAGTGTTCTCCTGTGTTCTTGGTTCAGTGTTCTCAGTTTGGTGTTCTCAGTTCAGTGTTCTCCAGTGTTCTTGGTTCAATGTTCTCCTGTGTTCTTGGTTCTGTGTACTCCTGTGTTCTTGGTTCAGTGTTCTTAGTTTAGTGTTCTTGGTTCAGTGTTCTTAGTTTAGTGTTCTCTACAATATGAACAATGAGTATGTGACAAATCACATTGGGTGTCTTCAGTACAACAGGACCAGGCAGTACAATGATGTCAGAGATGAGTATATGACAAATCAAATCAGCTGCCTTAGGGAAGACATATCCAGGTATGTTAGTGTTGTCATACAGAAAGTAGATACTAATGACAAGTATGTAACAAATCTGATTAGTAGCCTCAGTTAGCAGCTGTAGAAGGTGGATGGACAGGACAAGAAGAAGAGCTTAAATACTCTTGTTGTCAAGTAGAAGGTAGCTAGTTATCTGTGTAATCCAAATTATACTGTAGCTCCAGATGTTAGTAATAGTACCAAGATAATGTTCTCCTCACACAATCTGAGGACTAGTATTGTGCAAGATTCTACAGCTAGTTTCTAGACAGTGTTCAGATAGAGCAAAAGCTGGCTCAAACATACAACAAGTGGTAGGAGATGTATGAGTAGAAACAGACCTAAGGATAATCTACTTAAAGTGGTACAGTGTCTTGTCTGGCAGTTGTTGACCATAGTTTACAAGATAGTTAAACAGCATTCTGCCCTTGACATACTCTAGAGTAAGGAGAATGTGCTGCTCTTTGTTAACAATGTTGAATGCTTGAAGATGTGAATAATGTTTGGGTGGCCAATGAGCCTCATAGTAACAATCTCTCTGTGTATTCCATTGTAGTGCTTCTCTGCCATGGTTGCATGCATGTTGACAGAGTGGTGTAGCAAAAGCATATTCTTGAGTGGCAGAGTACTACTCTACATCAGTAACATCAAGGATAGGGACAATGTCCAGGTGGTTACTAAGCTTGGTTACACAAGTGTTGAGAGAGTAGTATGACAGGGGGGCAAGCATTCTTGAGTGGCAGAATCTTGACTAGGTGTAGGGCTGACAATCCAGTAGTACAAATGAGATTGAGTAGCAAAATCCCTAAATTTTGTGTTGTTCAAAAAAAAGTGTAAGGCTAGAGCCTCACTCAGGGAACAGAATGGGCAAAGACCTGGGATTAGAGAGGTCGACCTAAGTACAGGAGCAAAGTACAAAGATAAGATCCTAAGTAGCTATCTATGACCCTTATATATCTATGTTCTAAGTTATGTGTGTAACCTCTGAGGTTACAACTAGTAAGAGTTTGAAGGGGAGTATTATAATATGATTAGTTCATTAATGGACAAACCACAAGACAATGACTTCATAATGTCTCAGTTAGAATACATACAATATAAGGACAAGAGACACTGAGCAGTCAATTGTCACCTCACCCCTTGTCTATGTGTGCCCCCCTTAAGTTTTCCCTCTCAACAGTTACATTCTTAGCACAATATTTGAAAAATTTACAAGGCAAATAAGTCGTGCAAGAATTCGTGCAACATAGGCACCTTGTGAGAAACCATAAAAGAAAATCCGATCATCTGGCCAGTCTAAAACTATTGTAAAAGCAGGTTTGCTTTAGTTAATCAAGCAAACGTGCATTTCTCATGAATTTTTCTCATTCCATCAATAACCTTCCGCTCAACAGAGTAGCCAGTTGCCATGTCAAAGAATTCTACAATAGTAGCTCTAGGCCGTGTTGAAGAAGTGCCTGGTCCATCCTGTAACCGCTTATTAATTGATCGGAAAAGAAATAAATAATACTTGTTACCCAATGAAAAGCAGGTTGGAAGTCATGATCCCGAGGCAGCCCTTCAAAGAGCATACTTATTGTAGAGTTGTATGGAAAATCAAACCTATATAATCATAAGTTGTATGAAAGTTCAATACAATATTGAAACATCTTTACTCACGAAACAGCAGTTCCATCAAACAGGAGGATTATATCCTTACTGTCTTCATGCTGAGGCATTGTATGATACCTGTATATTTGTGCAGGCGCCTGACGAATGTTAGTGCCACTTATTCCATGTTGCTCTTGCCGTCTGCTAGTACTGACTGTAGG